TCTTAAAACTATGATTATACTGGGGAGGGGAGCAGCAAAAAACATTTACATTTTATTTGAATATTTAAATGTTGCTTGGTAAAAATTTTCAGTAATGTCTTAAGTGATAATTTCCCCCCTGAAATTCTTTGAATATAGGCATGTGAGCAGCAGTGACAGAGTGGGCAAGCCTTACCGTGGTGTGAAGCCTGTTTTCAGCATTGGGGATGAAGAAGAATATGACACAGGTGTAGTAATACACTTATCTACAGTCCGCTTTGCTCTGTCACTAGGAGTGATTATAGAGTTTGTTTTGGGACTAGCCAACTACTTTAAGGGAAAAAATAAAACCCAAATTTTGTAGAGAGTATTGGAGCATCTAGGGCTTTATATTATCAATTAGGTTTTAGATATTGTAGATTATGCCTATTGGAAATCCAAGCAGAAATGTAGAGTGGGCAATTAATTGTAGGAGTCATCAGCTGAGTAAAAGAGGTCCAAGCTAATGATAATTTTGGAGCTATCAGTGTATAAATGGTATTTAAATCCATGAGAGTGGATTTAATTCTTTTTGATCACCCACTTAAGAGACTGAGAGTTATGGCAATAAAGTTCAGAGAATTCCAAAATTGGAGACATCTGAAAAGAGCCTTTTGAAACTGGAGGCAATATCCTAAAAGGCCACAAGATGGGGATATTGTGTCGGAGCAACTGGTATCTTCTATTATTTAAAAAATAATTTAGTGTTTGGTTTATAAAATCCCACTGCCAAGATTTCCTAGTTAAGCAATTGTAATTAATATTGGTTAACATGTGTATTGAGTTGTAAATATAGATATATGTATAAAAGTATAGAATGAGAAAAAAAGGCTATTTGATCTCCCATGCTTTTTCCAGTTAGTAATACATGTTGCATATTTTCCATTTCAGCCCATTTACTTCCTTATTCTCTTTCTACCATATAAACATACCACAATTTATTTAACCAGTTTTCTTGTAGTTGACACTGGTGGTTTTCCAGGTTTCTTTCTGTTTCAAATAATAATGGATATTATACATCTACAGTAGAATGCCTATCAGAGGACTGTAACAAACTGGTCAATATAAAGAACTTCCATTGAGTATATGTGGTACATGTCTGTGAGAATTAGATCAACTTGAGGGTCATGTAAGGAAGTGGTCAACTAGGGAGGTTCTACTGTATGTAGATTAACTTTTGAAAGTGTTATCTAGAGGGTATGTTCTTAGCAGTTTGCTAGATTATAGGGAATCATACTTGACATATTAATTGGTATTATAAAATCATTTTCCAGAAAACTTACACAGAGTTTCTAATTATTTCTTATTTTCTCTTTTTTTCCCCTCTCTGTGTTACTTATCAGTCTGCCTCCCTGAATATCTCAGCTCCTTTCATTAACAAAGGCGAGAAGTTAAGGGATGAATAATTGTATATTTACATTGATATGTAACACACCCATATATTTTCACTATGGAGAATTTGACCATAATGAAAATGAGCAAACTGAAACTTTGTGTATCAACATACATACATTTCACAATGTTGGGAGTAGGTTAGCAGTTGCAGAAGAATGCAATTAAGTGGTCTACTTGTTATATATATTTTGTTTAAACTGAAAAACACTTCTGTATGTTATTTAGGAATATTCATCTTATAAGGTTAAAGACATGTATAGAACTGATAATACCAAATTCAGATATCCAGTAGTTCTTGGTAGGAAAGGGAAAGGAACATGAATGGGGAGATATGCACGAGGGTTTCATTTTTTTTCTTTTTAGACAGAGAGTCTCATCTCACTTTGTCGCCTTAGAGTGCAGTGGCATCATCATAGGTCACTGCCATTTCAAACTGCTATGCTCAAGTGATTCCCCTACCTCAGCCTCCCAAGTAGCTGGCACTACAACAAGCATGTTTCACCACGCCCAGTTAATTACTTTCTTTCTTCGAAGAGACAGAGGTCTTGCTCTGCCTTAGTCAGGCCAGTCTTGAACTTCTGAGCTCAAGTAATCCTCCTGCCTCAGCCTCCTGAGTGCTAGGATTTAGGCATTAGCCATTGTGCCTGCCTGGCCAGGGTTTCACTTTTATTTAAACTGGAGTGTAGGTACATAGAGTTTCCTTTTTCTTTTTTTTTTCCTTTTATTAAGTCATATATGCATAGATCATGAATACATTTATGCCTTTGTGGGATTCAATGTGTTAATTTTTTGCACAAATTGGAGTGTTTACATCCAACTAATCAACATAGCTTTCACCTCATTTATTTAATCACTGTGTTAAGACATTTGTGTTCTATCTATACTTGGTGTTCTATCTATACTTGGTAGACTTGATCCGTACCCTTGCAATATGCTTCATAGGTGTGGTCCAATTTATGATCATTCACACTTTCAGATAAAAGATGAATCACAACTATAGCCCAGGATGAAGGATGGAAGGGGAGGGTGATGGGAGGGGAGGCAGGTGGTTTGATGGAGGGTAAACGGGTTTTCTTTTTCATCATATCTCTTTATATTTTGAAGTATTTATTTAGAAGCAAAGCAAAGAACATTTATAATTATTAACCTTGGAGACTAATTCTTCTTTCTTAAATTAGAAAAATCAAATAATTAAAATATTTTATTTTTCTCTTATTCAAAAAAACTAGATTTTTACTTATTTATTCTAGTATTGATTTTATTATTTTCCCTAAAATCAGGGATGAGTGAGCTAAAAAGAACTCTACAATCTGCCCTCAAGATAGGTGCTTATTATTGGACAAAGCCATCTCTTTACAGGCAAGGCAGATCATTGTTATGTTATCTGCATTAAAAAAGTTGAGGCTAGGGCAGCGCCTGTGCCTCAAAGGAGTAGGGCTCTGGCCCCATATACCACAGCTGGCAGGTTCAAACATGGCCCGGCCAAAAACTGCAAACAAAAAAAAGGTGAGGCTAGGAATGGTGTTTCATGCCGGTATTCCTAGTGCTGTGGTAAGGCAAGGTGGGAGGATCCATTGAGCTCAGGAGTTCAAGACCAGCCTGAACAAGAGACCCCCATCCTTACTAAAAAAAGAAAAAATTAGCCAACCATTGTGGCAGGTGCCTCTGGTCCCAACAGGAATACTCAGGAAACTGAGGCAAGAAGACTGCTTGAACTCAGGAGTTTGAGGTTGCTGTCATCTAGGCTGATCCCACAGTATTCTAGCCTGGCAACAGAGTGAGATACTGTCTCCAAGAAAAAAAAAATGGAAATTTCCCTACTTTAATATATAAAAGTGTATTCTTAATATTTTTACCTTACCATATAAAGTGATGTTTTATAAAAATATTTCTGTATTACTATCAGTGGCATAAGGAAATAGGGTGGCAGGATTAGAATTTGTTTTTTCTTTTTCCTTTCCTTTTCTTTTCTTTTTGTTTTTAGAGACAGAGTCTCACTTCGTCACCCTGGGTAGAATGCCATGGTGTCAACAGCTCACAGCAACCTCGAACTCCTGGGCTTAGGCAATTTTCTTGCCTCAGCCTCCCGAGTAGCTGGGACTACAGGCATCCACCACAATACCTGGCTTTTGTTGTTGTTGCAGTTTGGCCAGGGCCAGGTTTGAACCTGCCACCCTCAGTATATGGGGTCAGCACCCTACCGTCTTAGCCACAGGTGCCGCC